TGTGACGTCTACTCCAAGGGATGGGTTGGGAATTCTGTATGATTGGTCAGGGTGTTCTGGGATGTGTTGAGTGTATCCTAGGGTAGCTGTTCTCCATTGCAAGTGTAGAAGGAGAGATCAGTTTAGTTTAAACTTCCGTTGAGTTTAGAATAGAAAAGTGACAATTATCTGTGATAATGTGTTATGTTTATAAATATAATAATAATATGTATCAGTGTAATTATAATTGTGCATTCTGTTTAAATATACCATTTACTTACATATATGTTTTTGGTGTATATCAAATTAGAAATTAAATAAGAATAAAGAAAGTTTTTCAGGAGTTTCAATATAAGTTTTATTTCTTGTATTTTTATTCTAATACTTGCAATTATTTGTAAAATGTACATAGTATTGCATCAAGAATAAAAATACTCAATAATTTATTTTCTTCAAAAATACATTTATTTAAATAAAAACAAAGAAAGTTTAGGAGTTTTAATATAAGTATGATTGTACAAAATATATAGTATTTTTATGCCTCAATAAATATTGAGTAATTTATTTTTTTTAAATATATATTTATTTAAATAAGTAAGATAAGTGATATTAGTCATGTCTTCCTTTAATTTTCTTTTCTGTTTATTCTAATTTTTATATTTTTTTTATACAATGTTTTCTTTAGTGTCATTATAATTATATTACTAAATAAATACTTATATTTATAAATAAGCTGATCAAATTTATCATTTAAATTATAATTAAAGTTATTGTTTAAAAATTAATGTCAGTGATCTCAAGATTTCCATTAAAAATAAAATTGAGAATTGGTAAGTTTATATATTTATAAGTAAAAAGATTATTTTATGTATGTAACCATTTTAGTTTTATTTCTATTTCAATATTGCATGTTGCAATAGATGTATATATAATTATACAGACGAGATATATGCATAGATCTATATACAATGAAATTTGGATTTCACTCGTGGGATGTATCATCACTGACAAGGTATATAAATAGACATTGCACCTTTTGGATTTTTGTGGCCCGTGACCTGAAATACCGACATACTATCACTGATTTTTTAGCGCACTCTACGTTTAGACAACGGTGAGTTGGGAAACTAGTGCTTCTTCATTGATAGAGTACCATCACGTTCAATTCAATAAATAATAATTCTCGAAACAAATCTGGTAACTCTCCATATTTTTTTGATTTTCGCGGTGCAAAACTTGCTGTGAAAAAATACATGGTCATGCAATGTCTATTCATACACCTCATCTGTGGTATCATTTTTATCCTATTGTATCGATTTAAGCAAGTTTTGGACCGCCGCGCTCCAAGTGATAGGAATTAAAATAAAAAAATATGAACTGTTGCCATATTTGCACCGAAAATTATTTGTGATGTACTGGTCATGTTTGTGTATATTACAGCACAGATGAAGTTTATACAAATAATGTATGTGCAATGTTTATTTATATACCTCGTTTGTGGCTGTGATAATTATTTATTATTAATTGTAGGTAATTTTAAATATTTTTGTTATAATTCTGTGAGTACTTGTAGGAGGGCGCCACTATCAATTTATTGTAGATTTATTCTTTTCCAAATATTAATTTCGTTTTTTCGAAATATTACGTATAATCTACAAATAAATAAAATTCAAATGAAAGAAAATTAATGTAAAAAATAATAGTTTAATATTATAATAGTTGGCTACTTTAACAGTAATATTTATCAAATTCCGGACAAGTTCTATTAATTCTATTAAAAATTTACAAATCCTGACTTTTGTTATGTATAAAAAAACAATCAGAACTATGTATAAATTTGTAGGAAATAATAAATATTTAAACTTTTGATACATTTTTTTTTAACATTACATGATGCTAGAGTTTTGTCATGAGTTATCTCAATGTTGAGAATCATATAATATAATATTATAATATCATAGTTGTTATATCATTAAAATGATCTATGATCTATTAATTTCCACATTTTTCGCAAATTTGTTCTTTCTATAAACTATTATAAATGTTACGTGATATCTGCTAATATTTCACGAAACTAATATTCTTCATAACTTAATTATTACCTTAATTATCCACCAGTATTATACAATCTTCAATTTAAACATCATTTTGTCCCAGTCTTGTAATAAAATCATTAATTTAAATTAAACTAATTTACAAAAATTTTGCCTTTTAAGACGTGAGTAAGATGTGAGTAAGATCTAGATTGTCGTTCACATAAGTTTGTTTTTTTTTTTTTTTTTTTTTTGACGGCTTGGATAAAGAGGATGGAAGTATTTATAGATTTAAAAGAAGAAGACGATTTACATTCTCAGTTCAAAATCGAGAGATTAAGTCTATTTCGAGATGCGATAGAATGATACATTCCTGCTTTGCCGTGTATCTTTGTAAATCCACACGATACCGTCCTCATTTTTTCCCCGTTTGTCGCGTTTAGTAAAGCCGTGTTTGCATTTCTCTCTCCGGGGAGAAGCAGGGCCACGAGGGTGGCGCGCAATTTCCAAAAGCCGATTTCAATTCCGTTTCCTTTTACACGGAGAAAAGAAATCTCGAGTGTAGCTCTCTTCGAGGGGGGAATAGCCACCTGGGATTACAGGAATCGCGCGGACGGGGCTGGAAACACGTGCGAAAATCCCGACGTCTCTGCATCCCTTTGCATCGATCGTTCTCCTTTTTCCTTTATGCTCTTCTCTCTCTCTCTCTCTCTCTCTCTCTTTTTCTTCTTATTTTCTTAGGGATACAATAATTTTATAAAACATTACAACTACGAACAACTAAAATGTAAAACTTGTATCAGAGAAATTCAATTACATGAGATAGGAAAGAGTTTTTAATATAAATACAGAATACAATCTTCTATCTAGAAGAATTTAACGAATTTTAAGAGAATTTTCTCTAAAGTTGCATCGTTGTAAATTTGTAAAATTCTTTTAAAAGATTACGAATTAGTCGTTTTGGATACTTTGATTGCAATGTTAAGCTTTTTACTTTTGCCAGCGCAAACCTTCGAAATTGTTTCGAATTCTTTCATCGCGATTGGTCACATTACATGAGATCGCAAAAGTTTGATTATACGAATTTGTAAAAAGACAAATAAAGAAATTAGTGAAATTAATAGAATTACTGATTTACTTTGAGATAAGGTAATGTGGATGAAATTGTTTATTATCGAGGAAACATGTATAAATCTACACTTTTTTTTATCGTTCGTGTACTTTCTTATTTTATTGCTGTATCTCGAAACGAGCTATCTTCTTCTAAATTTTTTTGATAAATTCGCGATCCTTTCGGGAATGACGTCACGGCGGTGTATAACGATGAGGTTCGTTTCCGCTTCCGGTTCTCACAACTCGTTCCGTCAACTCCATTCTTCCACACGCCATCGTGTGCCTTTTTCTCCTTATTTCTCTTTTTCGCTAGATTTTTCTTTGTATCTGTTCTAAGAATTATCGAATATTTGAGCCAGGACCAATTTTTCTATTCATGTTATTTCCTTTCATATTTTTTCGTATGTAATTTAAATTTATTTTTCATCCCTTCACACTTGCCAATACAGAAAATTTTACATATAAAATTCTTTATATAAAATGGAAGTTTTGTTTCGAGGAATATAGATTCCGTTCAAACGTTCGCAGAATAATAAAATAAAAGAAAACATTTTCTTTTTACACAGTTTCTTAAAATTCTTAAAGTGAGCCTCTAAAGGATTAATTTATTTTTAACATATTTAACGGGCACAAGGTATATCACCAATTACACAGAATACAAACATGATGTATCATACAATACAAATATAATGTAACGATACTAATATGATATAATAATATAAATAACGATTTTATTTTTTTTATTTGATTTCATTTATTTTCCGAGAATCGATGGAAAAGCACGAAACAAGATGTAATCCGTTTATTTCGACAGCATCTTTCGAACATTTTTGTTCGCTGGTTCACCACCTTTTCATTCCTAGTGCACGACGCATAAACACATTTTTATATGACACAAGAGTTGATGTATCTTTCCTTTTCCGGGATCGGTACCGGAAGGAATAACGTCTTTTATCATGTACGATGGCACCCTCGTTGATATTCGGCCGGCGTTTTCGTTCTTCTGGGACACCCGCCTTGCCATCCCGTTTCTCCTGTTTTCTCTTTACTTGTTCTGTAGCGTTAC